ATACATTCACTAACTTTTTCCATTACCAGTGTCCTCAAAACAATCTTGCCAACTCTGGATAATAAAGGCAGAGATGCTAAATGTCAGTATGTTTATTTTTTACTAATACTGTACTATCTTTCTCTTTTGATACCAGTCTTCAATAAAGAATAAAATTTACAATGTATTAACACAATTTTCATTTTATCTACTATTTCAATCGATCTGTGATCTCACTGACGTGGGTATATCTCTATTTCTCGACTTTGCATGGTCCACTCATGAAGCATGCTGGTTATTTCTTGTCACTACTATATGGCCAGCCTTTTCCACATCTCATCTTTCTTGACCTCTCTGAAGCCTCTGACACTCAGTAACCCTCTTCTCCTGGATCCTCTCTTCTTTCTAGGTCTCTATGACAGAGTTTTCTCCTGGTTCTCTTATTCCTTATCTACTTCTTGACTGGACCTTCACCCAGCTCACGCCCACCAACAATAGGTGTTCCCTTAGCATCCTCCCTGGCTTTCTCTCTTCTCACTTGGTAATTATACCCATTCCTACTGGTTCAATTATCATCTCTGCAGATGATTCTCGGATCCATTTATCTAGCCTTCATCTCTCTGCTGACCTCCAGTTTCCACCTGCCTATTGGACATCTCAAACTCATTATCTTTTCCTATTCCCAACTTCCCTATTACTGTTTTTAAATTAAATATTATTTTTTCCAAAAGCATTTTTTTCTCCCTCCCACATCCCCACTCTACTGGGAAAAGAAAAAGAAAACAAACTGCAAAAAAATATGCAGAATCAGGCAAATCAAATTCCATCTTGGCCGAGTTCAAAAATGTGTTTTGTTCTCCATGTCTAGTTCACCTTTCTGTCAGGAGGCCTCCCGATTACTGCCATCCTCTCACTAATCCAGGCTCACACCCAAAAATCATCTTCAACTCCTCACTCAACCCGCCCCCTCTCCCCACATCCAATCTGTTGCAGGTCCTCAGCCTCTAAGACATAGCTAGACTATTGCAACAGCCTTGTAGATGGCCTCTCTTGCCACCAAGCTCTCCCCAATTCCCCAATGGCAGCCTTGTAGGGTGTCTCAGTTTTTTGACCTGTAAAATGAGAGGGGTGAGCTAGATGCCCTTAAGTCCAGGCCTGCCCAAGAGTTAAAAGCTTGCTCCACCTAAAGCTAATCTTCTGACGGTGGGCCAACTTCAGCCATTGGGTAATAAAGCAAAGTTGGGTCAGGCCCCCAAGGACCTGATCACCTGATGCCCAACCCAATCTCCCTTCCATCCTGGTGTTCCAGAGAGAACAAACTAACAACACTCTTCATCAGCACAAGACCCTTGAGGACAGGCACACTAATCAAATGGTATTATATCCCCATCTATCTAGCAAATGCCAGCCCTGCCTCTCCAAATCCTTGTGACTCAGAATAATTGGCTGCCAAGATGAAATACTACCTTCATGCTCTTTTTACTTGGGGCAGCTGGGTGGCACTGTAGTGGAGAGAAGAGTTTGGAGTCAGGAAGATCCGAATTCAAATACTGCCTCAAACACTTACTCACTGAGTGACCCTGGGCAAGTCACTTCACCCTGTTTGACTCAGTTCTTCATCTGTGAAATGAGCTGGAGAAGGAAATGACAAACCACATCAGTATCTTTGCCAAGAAAACCCCAAATAGGGTCACAAAGAGTTGGACACAACTGAAAAGACTGAAAAACCAACAACACTCACTTACCACCTGATTCCTAGGTCCCTATTATGCTCTGCCCTTCCATTATGCCCTCTGAAAGTCTCACTTTCCTATTAGCAATCTTGCCTTTGTCTGAGACCTTTTCCTCTCATATACTTTTCATCTTGTACTCACAGAAATCTGGTTCAGTGGAGAAAGCACAGGACTTCAACTCAGGAAGATTTGAGTTCAGAATCTGCCACAGACACTTACTAGCTGTGTGACCTTAGGCAAGTCACTTGACTCCTTATACCTCAGTTTCCTCATCTATAAAGTGGGAATAATAATAGCACTTATCTCACAGGGTCACAGTGAGGATCAAATGAGTTAACATATGTAAAGTGCCATATGAATGCCCTATAAAGGGCCCTTCTCTAGGGGAACTCCAGGATGAAGCCATTTATGGGACATGATGGAGAAGCCCAGAGCAGAAGCCTGCTCCTCTGGTATCCAACCTACAAAATTTGTCGCCTGGCTCCCAGTTTTCCTCACCCGTCTAAGCCCTGCCGACAAACCCCACCCCGCAGATGCCTTGGACTTCCAAGTCAGCAGCTGCAGCTCCCAGGACACATATCTGCACTCCACTTCAGCCACAGAAAACCAACGAAGAGGTATTTATTAAATACTTACTATATACTAGACAATGTGGCCAGATATATAGTCTCTGTCTTCAAGGAGATTACAATACATTCAGCTGGGGTAATAGAGTACATACATGTTCACAGAAAGGCAAATATAACATTTTGATTGGATTATGCCATATTCTTATACTCATCTTATAGTAATTTTATATTTTTATATTAATTTCAGATTCTTGTTTTCATTCTTACAAGCACCTAGAGGCCACAGTTCAGTGGCCTGGGATCAAGACTACCTCAGTTCGGGGCAGTTAGGTGGCACAATGGATAGAGCACCGGCCCTGGAGTACAGAGGACCTGAGTTCAAATCTGGCCTCAAACACTTGACACTAGCTGTGTGACCCTAGGCAAGTCACTTAACCCCAACTGTCTCACCAAAAGAAAAAAAAAGACCTCAGTTCAAATCCACTTGCTGACATTTTCCAGATGTGTGACCCGGGCAAGTCACTTCACTTCTGTCTGCCTCAATTTCCTCAACTGTAAAATAGGAATAAACAATAATAGCACCTACTTCACAAGGCTGATGTAAGCATCAAAGGAGATGAAATTTGTAAAGTGTTTAACACAATGCCTAGCACATAGTAGGTGCTTAATAATGCTTATTCCATTCCTTCTTCTGTTAATTCGTCCTCATGTTTGTAGCCTTCTAAAATCTAGGCTAGTTGATGAGTTTCCTGGGCAGCCACATCAGTCTCTTGGACAAATCCCATTTTTCTTCTTCAGTGGGCTTGTTTCCTTTTTTATATGAAGAATTTCCTTCTGGAGCATCTCCCACCCCTCCTGAGCAGACTTCCCCGAAGTATTTTGGTTGAGGGGATCCTCCCTGCCTTTCTCTGAACCCTCTGAATTCTGCCTGTCCAAAATCTAGGGTGGCTGCCATTCTAGGAGCAGATTTCCTCTCCTCCTCTACGAGGACTCTGAGATGGAGGGATCCCATTTTTCCAGAAGCCCCATCATTTCCATCCCGCTAACCAGTTCCTCCTTGTTAGTGAGATACAGATGCAGAACAGAATGTATCCTTGGTCCCACCACATTCTGAAGAATGGAATCATTATTAAGTCAAGGCATTACTAGCTTCTTTGCCTACAGGCACTAGATACATGTTTATGCTCTTTCTTCTGCCTTCCCCTCCCCCTTCCTTTGGCAGAGGGAACTCTGGTCATTGATAGATTAGTGTTAATTAATTCAATACAACAGCTTTTTTACCACTAAGTGCGCTGAGCAAACAGAAGTTGTCTTGACAAGTAGAAGGGAAAGGGACATAGGAAATCCGGGGGACAATGATCCAGAAGGAGTACACCTCAGTGAGGAGGTGAAGACCACATAAAGCCACTGGATATATGCCACATGGTGTGCAGAATAGGGGATGTTAGAGGGTACAAAAAACAACTATTTTGCCTATTTCCAAATTTTGTCTAATATTAGTTTTGATCTCATGAAATGTGGGAGAAACTTTCTTTCTCCTTCTTTTCTCTCCTAGGGCCCCCCAGAATTGGTCTGGTACTGGTACTGGTACTACTACTACTAGGACTACTACTACTACTACTACTACTACTACTACTACTACTACTACTACTACTACTACTACTACTACTATAATGTAGTTAAATCAAAGGTTGAATGAGCTTTTGAGGGCTAGTTTGGGACTCTCACTGTAATCAAGAACATTGCTCCTAGTAGTTAAATACATTTAGAGTTCTAAACAACTAATTTAGAGATGAACTTTTGAAATGCAAACTATTTATAAACATCAGATTGGCAAAAATGACCAAAAAAGGAAAATGACGAATGTTGCAGGTGAAACAGATCCATTAACCACTATCAGCTGGCATGGGGAACTGCTACAGCCATCTTGGAAAACAATGTAGAACCATTTCCAAAAAGTCACTTAACCGTGACTTTACCCTTGGTGCCTCTACTAAGCTGATATCCCAAAAAGATCAAAAAAGAGGGAAAAGATCCATATATACAAAATTATTTATAGTAGCTCTTTCTCTAGTGTGGCAAAGAACAGGAATCTAAGGGGGTGCCCAACAATAGCAGAATGGCTGAGAAAATTATGGTATATGTCATAAAATATTATTGTGCTTCAAGAAATGGAAAGAGAGATGTGTTCAGAGAATCCTGGGAAGATCTACACGAGCTGATACAGAATGAAGTGGACAGACCAGAAAAACAGTTTATATAATAATGGCAACACTTTTAAAGACTGAAGAACAGTGACCAACCACAATCCCAAAGACTGGTCATGACGCCTGCTACCTATCTCCTGACAGAGAGGAGATGGAATTAAGACGTGTCATGAGAGATACAGTCTGAGATGTGGGGGATGTGGTTTTGTTTTGCATGACTGTGCATAGCTGTCACAAGGCTTTTGTTTTCCTTTTTTTTTCTTTTAAGTTTGGGAAGAGTACTATGGAGAGAAAATAAATGCTTGTTAACTGAAAAATAAAAATAACTAGGAAGACCTGCACTTCAAAAATATTAACAAAAATGAAAATAAAGCCTCCCACAGCACCAACAACCAAGAAAGTAAAGAAACAAAAACCATGGGGAGAGTTCCAGCAGGAGTCCCAGGCACCCCAGGAGCCCCCGGCGCCCCGCCCTCAACACAAAAGGCTTCGTCCGGAGCTGAGGTCCTTACCCAGCTGGTTCTTCATGCCCATGAGAACAGAATTCATGTGTGCCTTTGATGCATACAGTTTGCTCACGGCCTTCCGTGATCTGATCATCTCCTTGGCTAGAATGACACAGACATCCTTCTGGCCCTTTTTGGCAGCATCCTTCACAGATCGCTTCACTTTCTCTTCTTCTCTCTGGATATCTGAATTATGAACAAGACAGAAACACCAGAATCAGAGGCTGACTATAGAGGATACTGCCCACACTGAAATCCATAGCTTCTTATTGTGGTTTTTTATTTTCAGAATCAATACATAAATATACAGAAAAATATAAATAAAATATAGTCCATATCATGACATAAAAGGTACAAAGCAGCCTTTGACAATTTTCAGCCTTTGTATATCCTACATCAATGGTTTTGATACCAATTCCAAAGAATATAAAAACTCTGAAAATCCCCCAACTACTATAAACTACTGTATTCTGAATGGGAAGACAAAGCAAGGTCAGTAACTGTGAATCTAAATGCCTTATAAAGATAATTCATATATTTCTCCATTTTAACCTAGGCTGTTAGAGCTTCAAGGGACCTTAGCAATCATTATGTTCCCAGAATTTCAGGGTCTGAAGGGACTTCAGCAGAAACCTGGTTCAAATTCTAGTCAAAATGAATCTCCATTATAACACAGCAGACAAGTCTTGGAAAGCTCCAAGGCAGGGGAGCCTTCCTAAGGCAGGAGGCCTCTCACCATACTGGCGACTCCCTCCAGATGCTCGTGAGCTTAGATCAATGTCCTTCTTACACTGCAGCACCCAGAACTAATCCCAACACTCCAAATATAACCTGACCCATGCACAAGTCATCTGCTCTAACCCTGTAATTTTGTAGATGAGGACCCTGAGATTCAGAAGTCAAGTGACTTGGCTAAGGTCACGTGACTATAAATGGCAGGATCAGGACATGAACCCAGATCTTCTTACTTTAAGTTCCGAGCCCTTTCCAGAAGAAACAACATCTGGTAATATTTGAGCACCAGGGATAGCGTGTGGTAGGGCCTACATCTATTTTAGTTTCTAGCATTTATATGGCATTTTAAGGTTTACAAAGCACTTCATATGTTACCTCATTTGATCCTCACTTTAGGACCTCATTTGAAGTAGGTACTATTGTTATCATCATCCTTTTACAGATGAGGAAACTGAGGCAAATATGGGTTACAGAGTCACATAGCCAGTAACTGTATCTAAGGTAGGATTCAAACTCAGTTCCTCCTGATTCCAATGACTGTACTCTACCCACTATACCAGCTTTCCATCCTTTTCTCTGACAAAGAATACGGTAGCTAGGCTGTTGGGAGAGCTTAGAAGCCTTGAGTTCAGGGCCCTATCTATGCATCTATATTCCTTAATGAAGGAGGCAGCAGTTAAAATGGGCCTTATCGAAGGATTACATAAAGTCCTGCTTTACAAAAACAGCATAATCAAGACAAAAAGAAAAATAAGCGATTAGAAAAGTATCTATGCAAATGTAATAAAAACTTAATAACTAAAATTTACCTGGGCAATACTCAATAACCAATTATTCACTGGATAAATGGCCAAAGGATAAAGCCAATTTACAAAAGCAGATACCCTAATGGATTAAATAACTTGAGAAAACAATCAACCTCATTAGACATCAGAAATGAAATATTTTTTTAACAACAACTCTAATGCAGTACACATCATAACACTCAAAGTGGCAAAAATAACTCAGTGGCAAAACTCAATTATAATGAAAATGTGGAGAAAAAGATATATACAAACGCTGAAGGAAGAAATGTAAGTTGATAAAGAATATTTCTACAGGACGATCAGATAACACAAGTCGTACAAGTCATAAAAATCACCATACCATATCATTTACCTAATCCTTTCATTACTGGGAATATACCAAGTATTTTCAAGTCTTATAAAGGGGGGGAAAAAAAAAAAGAGGGGCAGCTAGGTGGCGCAGTGGATAGAGCACTGGCCCCGAAGAGAGGAGGACCTGAGTTCAAATTTGGCCTCAGACCAAACACTTAACACTTACTAGCTGTGTGACCCTGGGCAAGTCACTTTAACCCCAACTGCCTTTAAAAAAAAAAAAAGGATCCATTTGAAAATATATTAAAAGAGCAACATTTGTGATTGCAAAGAACTTGGAAAACACCATGAATGAGTCACAGTTGGCGAATGGCTGAAACTGTGTGAGACTGAGTGATTAGTCCTTTGTTCTCAAAGAGAACCATGACATCAGGGAGATGAAGACATGACTTGCAACTAACTGTGATTTGAGTAAGAGAGGGCTGCACAAAGTCACCAGCCTCACTTTCTCCTCCAGAGCCATCTGGGTCCAGTGGCCAGATACAGATCAGGATGACTGGAGAGTGAAGTAACGCCCATTCAGTGAGTAGGCCTCTTTAAGAAGTGTGTCAAGGGATGGCTCCTTTAATTAAAAAAAAAAAATCAAACTGGGAGGGGAAGACCCTCAGAGTTGCTGGCCAAAAGAGAAACAGTTACTATTTACATTCACTCCAAGCAAAGAGGGTCCAAAAAATAACCATTATGTGGTGCTTGGGCAGGGACCTATTGTCCAATACATGAGATCCCGAGTGAATTGGATTTCAGGCTTGGTCTTTGAGAAAGAAATCTAGCCAGTATACCCCAGTATAATAATATAATATACTACCATCAAAAATGATAAATGAAGGATATCAAGGCATTTAGAAAGATTCATGAAATAATGAGAAATTAAGTGTAAGAGAAAAACAGTATATATGACTCCAATTATACATATATTAATTTAAGGAGGAACAGGGGAGTGGAGGGGTAGGAGGGTGAATGTGCTTGTCTGGGTCAGGGAAACTCCTCCCCAACAACTATAAACAAAATGCAAAGGACATGATGCACTGATGCTGAGTTAGGAGTACCTATTATCTTAATAGAAGAGAAATGATCCCTTAGTACATAGGAGGTATTATACAGTATATGACAACATACCAAATCTTTCTCTTGCCAACTATGTGTACATACAAAAGAAGAAAACAGGCTGTTCTCAAATTATTTTTCTTTTTTTGCTGGTCTTTGATTTGTTTTTTGGAGGCATTTGGGGTTAAGTGGCTTGGCCAAGGTCACACGGCTAGTAAGTGTCTGCCTCCAGGGCTGGGGCTCTATCCACTGCACCACCTCGATGCCCCTGTCAAATTATTTTTCTTGTGTACTTTGAAGAGATCTGGCTAGTCATGGAGAAAATGTCATGTGGGAAGGCTGCAGCTAGAGGCATGCAATGTAGAGGAAGGCACACCATCCTTCTGGGCAGATATTTGTTACTATCTACCTGTGTGACCTGAGGCAAGTCCCTTAATCCCATGAACTCTTTCTTCATATGAAATGAGAGAATCAGATGAAATAATCCTTTAGGAAAAGAAAATGGCAAATGCTGAAGGGGATGCGGGGGGAAAAAGGGACACTAATGCACTGTTGGTGGAGTTGTGAACTGATCCAACTGTTCTGGACAACAATCTGGATCTATGCTCCACAAAGTATAAAACTGTATAAAACCCTCTGACCCAGCTAATACCACTGCTAGGTCTGTATCACAAAGGGATACCCCCTCCCCCCCCAAAAAAGGAAAGGACCTATATGTACAAAAATATTTCTAGCAGCTCTTTATGTACTGGCAAAGAACTAAAAATTGAGGGGATGCCCATCAACTGGGGAACGGCTGAATAAGCTGTGGTACAGGATTGTGATGGAATGCTATTGTGCTCTAAGAAATGATGAGCAGGATGCTTTCAGAAAAACATGGCAAGACCTGTATGGACTCAGGCAAAGTGAAATGAGAAGAACCCGGAGACCATTGTACACAGTAACAACACGGTATGTACGATGATCAGCTGGGAATGACTGAGCTATTCTCAGCAACACAGTGATCCAAGACAAGTCTGAAGGACTCATGATGAAAAATGCTATCTGCCTCCAGACAAAGAACTGATGGACTCTGAAAGCTGATCAATACATACTTTTTTTTAAACTTTATTTTTCTTGGGGTTTTTTTTTTTTGGTCTGTTTTCTTTCACAACACGGGTAATATGGAAATATGTTTTGCATGACTACACATGTAGAATCTATATCAAATTTCTTGCCTTTTCAATGAGGGGGGAGGGGAAGGAGGGAGAAGGAGAATTTGGAACTCAAAACAAATTTTTTTTAATAACTTTTTTTTTTGAGAGGCAACCAAGGTTAAGTGCCCAGGATCCCAGAGCTGGTAAGTGTCAGAGTCTGCATTTGACCTTAGGCCCTCCTGCATCCAGGGCCAGTGCTTTATACATTGTGCCACCTAGCTGCCAGAACTCAAAATTTAAAGAAATGAATGTTAAAACATTTTTTACATGTAATTAGAAAAAAATATTTAGGGAAAAAAATCCTTACGGTCCTTTCCAGTCATAAATCTCTGACCCTATGATGTAGGTACTCATCAGACTATAGTACTTCTGAGGTCCTGCCCAGTTTTTATATGCGAGTCTACAACTCTTGTCTATCACATACAAATCACAGTGGAGAAAAAGGATTTAAAAGAGTTAAAGATACAAAAGAAGAACTGATACTCATTCTCTCCTAAGATAGTTTTTTAAAGGACTACTGAAGTCTCAACCATCTTCTAATATCTGTGAAAATGACAGAACGGACAATAAGGGCTAAAGAGACAGACACTTGCTACTCTGAAAACATTCAGGAGTATGTAGTTTTCATTTTCTTCAATCATTTCTAGCCTAGTTCTACTTCAGCGGCAAGCTGCTTTCTGGGACAGGGAGCTGTTTGTAAGAATGGCTCATTAAAAGGCCATTTCTTTGTATCTGAACTATTTGGAAAAAGTGGTAACAATTTCCACTGGACAGAGAACCACTGAAAAGCTCTTTGAGGTCACTCAGTTCTGCCTTGTCTGGACACTTTTTTCCTTCAAGCAGGTTTTTACTGTCTGTAGAATCAAATATAAACCTGTTTACCTTTTAATTATATAAGAATTCAACATTTAACATTTTATGCCACCCTGTGTTTGGCTATTTCTGGCCTTCTAGTCTCTTCTCATTTTGGGAGGAAGGGAGAACTTTATTCTTAATCCACCCTTATCCTCTTATTCTCACCCTCCCTTCCATTCCCCTTGGCAGGGCAGGGCTT